GTAGTAGTAGTAGTAGCAGTAGCAGTAGCAGTAGCAGTAGCAGTAGCAGTAGCAGTAGCAGTAGCAGTAGCAGTACTACTAGTACTACTACTACTACTACTACTACTACTACTACTACTACTACTAGTCGTAGTCATAGTAGTAGTTGTTGTAGGTATCTGAAACCCTCGAGAAGCCCCTGGCTGCGGAGGAAAGGCATCTTCAGGCTCTCAGCCGAGGGGAAGCGGAGATCAAGCTTGGGCATGCTCATCTCCTGGAGGGCTTCCTTTAAGGCTTCCTTTCAGGGTTCCTTTTAAGGGTTTCTGGGTTCCTCTAAGGGTTCCTTTAAGGGTTCCTCTAAGGGTTCCTTTAAGGGTTCCTGTAAGGGTTCCTTTAAGGGTTCCTTTCAGGGTGCCTTTAAGGATTCCTGTAAGGGTTCCTCTAAGGGTTCCTTTAAGGGTTCCTTTCAGGGTTCCTTTTAAGGGTTCCTTTCAGGGTTCCTTTTAAGGGTTCCTTTAAGGGTTCCTCTAAGGTTTCCTTTAAGGGTTCCTCTAAGGGTTCCTTTAAGGGTTCCTTTATGGGTTCCTCCAAGGGTTCCTTTCAGGGTCCCTCTAAGGGTGCCTTTTAAGGTTTCCTAGAAGGGTTCCTTTAAGGGTTCCTCTAAGGGTTCCTCTAAGGGTTCCTAGAAGAGTTCCTATAAGGGTTCCTCTGAGGGTTCCTCTAAGGGTTCCTCCAAGGGTTCCTAGAATAGTTCCTATAAGGGTTCCGATGAAGGGTTCCTACAAAGGATCCGAGCAGGCTCATCATCTGGATGCGGGACGGAGGGGCTCCTTGTGAAGGGTTCCTTTCAGGCTTAAACTTTAAGGGTTCCTAGAAGAGTTCCTGTAAGGGTTCTACTAAGGGCTCTTATTTTGGATCGAAGAAGGGTGCTATAAGGTTGGGTCTAGGGGTTTAGTGCTTAGGGCTTGGGGCTTGAGCGTTAAGGGTTTGGGTTTAGGGCTTAAAGTTGAGGGTTTCGTTGTTGAGCTCCTTGTCCCCCCCCCAAAAAAAAAAGGGTTGTTTAACCGTGTTTCTTTGGGTAGGAGTCGGTGTTCGAAGTGCAAAGACGCTTGAAAGGCTACAAGGTTCGGCTCCTGGGTTAAGAATGGTTTAGGATTTAGGGTTTAAGGATGGAAAACATGTAGGTGTGGGAAACCAGTCTCTGCGAGGCCCTGAAAGAATCCGCTTGGATTCTGGCAGCGATAAATCACTCGAAGACATGTTCTTCCCACAGCAAGAGCACATGCCGATAAGAAGAATTCCTGGAAGAAGAGCAATAACCAAGATGGCAGTAAGACTACAAAGAACCACAACCATCCAATAAACTTCCTAAACCCTAAAACCACCCTTAATCCCAAACCCCCGTCTGATCACTTCTCCCTCTCTGCTGCCCCTTTCTCAAAGCCCTTCTAGGAACCCTTACAGGAACCCTTATGAGATCCCTTATTCTTACAGGAACCCTTAAAGAACCCTAGAAGTAACCCATCCGTCACGCCTCCTTTTCTCAGAGAACCCTTTCTCGCCTGCCAGCGGCCATCTGGAAGGAGGAGGACGATGCCCACCGGTGCCGACCTTCGTCGGTTTTGTAGGGTTTAGGGTTTACGGGTTCAGGGCCCAAGGGTGAGGCATGGAACTGCTCCTTTGCAAAGGGTCACCACCCATGTGCAGGACCACCCATGTGCACCTCTATGACTGCTACATCTCTTCCGTGGAAGGCGACGCCACACAGTTTGCCAAAAACACTCAAAGTGCCAAAAGGCTCCGCCTCCATGGCGACAACGGCACCCGTGAGTTGAAGGACCCGAATTCGAAAGGAATGCAAAGGGAAAAGGGAGTCCTTCATCAGACTCCCATGCAAAAACAGCTGAAGCAAGAGTCATAGCGATACTTGTGATGGACACAGAAATGACAGCAAATCTGCTTAGAACTATAGTAATGAAGACAAGAATAACCAGAATGATGATGGCTAACATAGTAATAGACAACAGAACCATATTCATAAGGAGAAGATGAAGAAGATGAAGACGAACGACCAACAATAATAACCACAATCATAATCATAATAAGAGTACTACAAATAAGTAGTGCGTAATGATATTAAGAGAAATAATAGCAATATTAGCAATAATAGCATAATAATAATAATAACAGTAATAAAAATAATAATCGCAATGGTTGTTATCATAAGGTCCAGACCCGCTTCCGGGCTCCCCGGGGCGATCTCGGCTGCGCCGGGAAGGCGCCGCCCCGCCGGCGACGAAGTCTGGCGGCTTTTGGGCGGGAGGACGCGCAGAAGCCAGGGTTTAGGGTTTCGGGTGTAGGTGTTTAGGGTTTAGGGTTTAGGGTTTAGGGTGTAGGTGTTTAGGGTTTAGGGTTTAGGGTTTAGGGTTTAGGGTTTAGGGTTTAGGGTTTAGGGTTTAGGGGTTTAGGGGTTTAGGGGTTCAGGGTTTGATGGCCGTGGCTACGTCATGATAGTCATAAAAATGATAGCTGGCATTGGTAATGTAAAGGAACAGAAGGGTTTAGGGTTTATGGTTTTTCTATTTATTTCATTATTACTCTTTTTAATTACTCTTTTATTTGGGGAGGGACTGACAAAGCGACAGCTCTGGTGATCTAGTCGAACCCTGGCCTGCATCTGGGTCCTCGGGGTCTGCAACCCCCACCAGCGTGAGCTCCTGATTGCCTGGACATCGAGACTTCCATGAGGGTTTAGGGTTTAGCGCAATCGTGCTCAGAACTCGCGGGGTTCTGTGCCACAGTGCACAAAAAGAAGGTATGTGTTGCTCCATTAAACCATCCTCCTTTACAGTGTGCAGAAGGGTTCCGTTGTGGGGGCTGCGATGGCTCGAAGTTTGTCACGAGATCAGTCAATATTGGTAGCATTCGTCTTCGCTCCGACGCGGGGAACAACAACTGCTTCTGCAACGTTGAGCAAGAATCCGTGGCACGAGAAGCTTTCACTTCTCCCATGGGGCACGCGACTAGCCGTCGTCACAGATTACGTAGATGTTAGCTGCCTAGCATATTCATATGAAAATTCATATTGATACTAGTACATATACATATATATATATATATATGCATATATATATATATATATATATATCAGAATAGAATAGAACAGAATTGAATAGACCATACTATACGATTATCTATCCTACTCCAATCTCCAAGGAGGTCCGAACCCTTACGCTTGGTCTGAAACCCTCTGCACATAATGCGGGGGACTCGACTTTTCCTTCGGGCGCTGCGGAATGACTAGGGCGAGGGTTGCTATGGAACTGCCCTAAACCCGAAATCCTGAAGCCCACACCCAACCCTAAACCCTAAACTCTTGAACCAAAAACCTAAACCCAAGCCGAAGCCTTGAACCCGAAACCCTGCAGCCTTCGTCCATCTGCGAGATGCTAACTTTCCGCAGCTCGATGAAGGCGTACCTGCGCTCCGCCATTGCCCACGAGTCCCTCAAAGAGCTTGGCAACCTTATCCCTGACAGGGTTTTACATGGCCTTTGCATTCTATTTGATAAGAGTTTCTGGAATCATTCGTAACAGCGGCTTCCCGGTAACCCATGAATCATATCGGCACCCTGCTTCCTACTGCGCAGGTTAGCAAGGAGATCCCGAAACAAAAGGTGTAGAAGTGCGCTTTCGGGGGGCTTAGTACACCCACCCCTGTAGAAACCCTTAAAGCAGTTCCTTTCCGTAAACCTTATGGCCACCCTAATTAAACCCTAAACCCTAAACCGCAAAGGTTGCAGGGGCTTGGGCAAATAATTCAAAGAGCTTGGGGCCTCGATGGTGGATGTTTCTGAGGTCGAAGAGACAGAAATTTCAGTGAGCCTACACCCTAAACCCTAAAGCCTAAACCCTAAAGCCTGAAGGGCCTTCTAGGGCTTTTGTTTAGGGCCTTTTGACCTTTTTGGTGCGTCTTCAGGATTCGAGGCTTCAGGGCCCTCGGCTTTGGGGTTTGGGAGGCTGCAGATCCCTGGTTTGGGGCATGGAAGCCTCCGTGACCGGCATAGAGATAACAGAAGTACGGCTGATGATATAAATCCTGCATTATATACCCAGAATAAGGAAGATGCCATAATTCCAGTAGTTTAGGGTCCTTGGAGAAATGCGGGATTTCTTTCATCAGCAGTATGTCATAATATACCGTGCGGCAATATCCTATAAGAAAATAAACTCTACTCGGCTCTACTCTCCTATACTGTACTATTCTATACTGCACCAAACAACTCTATACTCTACTTAACTATGTTATACTATACTATACTATACTATACTATGCGATACTATACGATACGATACGATACTATACGGTACTATACGATACTATACGATACTATACGATACTATACTATACTAGAGTGTACTATGCTATGCTCTGCAATAAATTTAAGTTAAACCTCGATGACACTTAGTCGGAAAACTTGCTTCTTGACCGGGCACAAAATGTCTGCCTGCTCATGAACCATTGGCCCTAAACCCTAAACCCTAACCACCCAACTTGCTGGTCCGTTTTGGCGCCCTTTCCTCCCCAAGGGCACGGGGCTCCAGTTTGAGGGTGGGCGGCGAAGAAGAGGAGCCTGGATACGGTGCAGGTTTCAGGGAATCGGGGAAGGGAAGGGTTTAGAGTTTAGTTTAGAGTTTAGCAGTTTAGGGGGTTGAAAGGGAAAGTGGGTAAGATACCTGCAAAACGTCTTGAGGCGAAGGTTTTGGCAAAAGAGTTCATGCCGGGATCCTGCTTGAATTAGACGAGGACCTGCAGGGGCCTGTGATTGTTTTATGGTTATGCGGTGCATTGTAGTTTGAATATACGAATGATCAGTAAGGGAAAATATTACCAATTGTGCCAGTTGTCCAAGCCCAAGCCACCAAAACAAGTCTTGAAGATCTGCGTGCAGATGGCAAGGGCCGAGCTGAGATACACATGCGGATTTCTCAAAAATAAAGCCCGCCAGAGGGCGAAAATGGGAGTTCCCCCTGAACCTCAGAGGCTTTCGGGAGTTTGGGCTGAGCCCTTATACGGCTGGCTAGGGTTTGGGGTTGAGGGTTTAGGATGGAGCGCACAGTGGCGAGCTCGGGCTCTAGGAATTCGGAGCCTCGGGACTCCATTCTTTGCAGGGGAGACGGAAGCGTTAGGTTTTAGGGTTCAGGGTTTGGGCTCCGGGGTTTCGGGTTTAGGGTTCAGGGTTCAGGGTTTAGGCTCTGGGGTTTTTCGGGTTTGGGGTTCAGGGTTTAAGCTCTGGGGTGTCGGGTTTAGGGTTCAGGGTTTAGGCTCTAGGGTTTAGGGTTTAGGGTCTAGGGTTTAGGGTTCGGGGTCTAGGGTTTAGGGCTTAGGGCTTAGGGCTCCTGCTTCTCCTGAGAGCAGGGCGTGTAGACGACAGACAGCCAGGCGAAGTCATCACGCTTCACCATCCTCGTGCCAGGCACCGCCTGCATGGCCAGAGCTGCTCTCTGCTCTGTGGGTGGGGGATTTGGGGCTTCCGGTTTAAGATTTGGGCGGTTCTCTAAATTGTGGTACCTTTTTAGGTCCCCAAAATAGTACGGCACCCTAACTTAGAGAACAACCCACTTGGGGATACCAAGTGTCAGCAGGCTAGAGAGGCACATCCAGAGAGAAAATCCTTAGCTCGCGGCCTTCCTCTAATTTGTAGCTGCCTCTTGAAGATCTCTGCGAGACTGGGGTCCATGAAACTAATGATACTTAAATTAGCATAATTGAACCTAAACATAATCATAAGAATGAACCTAAACATAATCATAAGAATAACCATAACTTCGATTCCCTGTGGCAACCCGGCTGGGGCGCCTCGACTCCCGTCGGGGTGCGCTTGCTCACGTCGGTGGTGCTGGCAGCCAGGGGGCTGCGTACCAAGCCTGGGACGTCTCCCGAAACCCTGAACCCTAAACCCCGAAACCCTTAAAACCTTAAACCCCAAAGTCCGAAACCCTTAAAAGCTTAAACCCTACACCTTGAAACCCTAAGCCTCCAAACCCTGAACCCCCAAACCCTTAAAACCCTAAACTCTAAATATGAATTCTTAAAACCCTAAACTAAAACTGTAAAGAGGGCGAGGGGAAGAGCTTCCGCGGCTGCAACTGCAACTTGTGTTACTTCCCGCTGTCTCAACTCTATCTCCGAAGACTCCATCTAGCCAATAGTACTACGTATAAAAGAAGTAGTAGTAGCAGTCGTCCTCGTCGTCGTAGTAGCAG